TTTTGAACTGTGGTGTTGGAGAAGACTCTTGAGAGTCCCTTGGATTGCAAGGAGATTCAACCAGTCCATCCTAAAGGAGATCAGTCCTGGGTGCTCATTGGAAGGACTGATGCTGAAGCTGAAACTCCAGTACTTTGGCCACCTCATGCGAAGAGTTGACTCATTAGAAAAGACCCTGATGCTGGGAGGGATTGGGGGCAGGAGGAGAAGGGGACGACAGAGGATGAGATGGTTGGATGGCATCACCAACTGGATGGACATGAGTCTGAGTAATCTCCCGGAGTTGGTGATGGACAGGGAGGCCTGGTGTGCCGCGATTCATGGGATTGCAAAGAGTCAGACACGACTGAGCAACTGAACTGAACTGAACTGAGATATCATTTGATTTTTATTCTTCCTTTTCTTAAAGTAGTGTATCCCATTAACTGCTTTCTGGATATCGAATCATCCTTGCAGTCCTGGAATTAATCCCACTTGGTCATGATTTATGATCCATCACTTAATTTAAGAATAGTTTGTTGAATATTTTTTACATCTATATTACTCAGAAATATTGGTCTGTAATATTATTATTTTTTTTTTTTTGTAGTGTCTTCCTGTGGTTTTGGAATTGGCAGGTGCTGGCCTTGTTGAATGACCCTGGAAGTGTTCCTTGTTTTTCAATATTTTCGAATAGTTTGAGAAGTTAGGTATTAGCTCTTCTTTATATGCTTGGTAGAACTCCCATTTGAAACTGTCCAATCCTAAACTTTTTTCCTTTGCTGGGACTTTTTTTTTTAATTACAAATTCAAAATTAGTGATCAGTTGGTTCAGATTGCCCCTTTCTTCCTGATTCAGTCTCCAGAGTTTCTATGCTTCAAAATGTCCATTTTTCTAGGTTGCCAAATTGCTAGCACATAACTGCTTTCTGTATATACACCTTTATAATTTTTGCTATCTCTGCTGTTGGTTGTTATTTCTAGTTCATTTTTTCATTTTACTTGGGTGCTCTCTCTTTTTTTCTTGATGAGCCTGGGTAAAGATTTATTAATTTTTTTTATCTTTTAAAAAACAGATCTTGGTTTAATTGCTTTTTATATATTTTTAATCTCTAATTTAGTCTCTGAATTTTATTATTTCCTTCCTTCCACTGACTTTGAACTTTATTTGTTCTTTTTTTCTAATTTCTAGGTTGTTTGCCTGAGATTCTTCTTCATTTTAAGGCATACCTGTACAGCTATAAACATACCTCTTAGAACTGCAAAAAAAAAAAAAAAAGTTGCATTTTTATTTGCATTTGTTTCAAAGCATTTTCTGATTTCCTATTTGATTTCTTCTTTGACCTATGAGGTTTTTTAGTAGCAGGTTGTTTAGTCTACATGCGTTGTGGTTTTCCCATTTTTCTTCCTGTAGTTTCATACTGGAGTGCCCAAAATAGGTGTTTGATATAATTTTTATCCTCTTAAATTTGTTAAGATTAGTCCTGAGGCCTAGTATGTGATGTATCCTGGAGAAAGTTCCATATGTACTTGAAGACAGGGTGTGACTTCCCCTGAAGTGTGATGGCAGCCACGGCATTGGTGGGTTGTAGGGCTGGAGGTGGTGGGGTTAGACCCAGAGCCAGGGGTGAGCAAGAGCTTCAATTCTCAGTGGCTTTCACCACCTTATCAGGGGTAGGGTGCAGCCTGCAGTGCTGGAACAAGAGCCTTGAGAAACTGGGTTTCTCCTGTCTGTAATGGCAGTCTCTGATTTTTTCTGGGACAGGACCAAGGCCTGAGAGCTTGGGGTTGTGCTTCTGGGCTGGTTTCTCTTGTTCCCCAGTGTGTATGTCTCAGTGAGAATCTGGGCAGGACTGGAGGGTTGGTGCCATACCACTGAACCGGGCCTGCTCCCTCCTAAGATCTCAGAGGGATGTACACTCTGTTGATAATGTTCTCCTCTCTGGAGCTAACTTCACTCCTCCTGGAGTGTGTGCAGAGACATATGAGTTGACAATGGCTCAGTTGCAAGCTCAGTGTCCAAGTCACCTCTGTTTTGTCCAAGAGTGCACACTTTCTTTAGCAATGGTGGCCTCCCCTTAGCGGGCAGCAGCCACAGGAACAAGAGGGACTGGAGCAGAAGCTCAGTTAAGGCTTGGTGGGAGTGTTGGAGTGGCCCCTACCAGCTGCCCAGCGTCCCAGGCAGTTTTCAGTCTGCTGTCTCCGTGCTGTGACTGGGAGTGAGCACTTCTGGCACAGGCCCTTCAAGAGCAGGTCTCAGTTTCTTACAAACTCGGGTAAACCACCACTGGCTGTCAAACCAGATAAGGCGGCTCATCTTCCTGTTGTTAAACCCCAGGGCTGGTGTGCCTGAAATCTGGAGCGAAATCTTCCCTCCTTGGGGAGGATTCCCTCGCCTGTGATATCCCCTTCCTCTTCTCTGTCCCAGGCTAGGGGTATGTGCTCTGACCTGATGACTTCCCTCCCCTTCCTGCAGATTCCATGTGGATCATTCATTACAGCCTTGGTTGTAGAACAGCTGTTCTGCTAGTGCCCAGGTTAATATCAGCAAGAGTTGCTCCAAATGTAGTTGTACTTTGATGTGTTCCTAAAGAGGGGTGAGCTTAGCATCCTGCCACTCTGCCATTTTGATCTCCATTCTTATTTTCTGTAGTTTTGATTGTTAGAGGCTACCTCTGTGTGGAAGATCAGGCTTAGGTAAAAATTTAACTTCTTCCCTGGTCTTTCTGAATTTGCATTATGTACAAGCATGGCGTACAAGCATGGGCACTTTCTAATTACCCCTGGATGTGCTTCTTGCTTTTTAAAAGCCTTGGTCTTTGTGTCTGACTCCCACAAGACAAAAAAGAGAAAAACAAAGATGAGAAGGATAAAGGGTACTAGCCTTTAAAGCCCCTGGAAATCACTTCAGCTGTATCAGGAGGGGATTATAGCCACAGTGGGGAGGTGCACCAACAGTGGCCGCTCCCCCTGTGTCTGCATGTCTGATTCAGGAGCAACAACTAGTAATCAGGGGACAGACATGGGATATTTGAGGGGAAAAGCCCTACTTTCTCACTTTGGCTACCGTTAAGCTTTGTGGAAGCTTCTCCTGAGCATGTGCATGCCAGCCAGCCATGCAGAAAATATTTACATTATCCTTTGACACATTATAATAAGGACTTTTAAGGCAGAATATTTAACTAAGAAAAATAATAGTTCAGCATCCTTTTCAGTAAAGACAGGGCCAAAATTTGTGTATTCACAAAATATTTCTTTCAAGATGTCATTATACTGCCAGCTGCACTTTGCAGTTTAGTAACTTAAAATATTTATGGAAGCACACAAAATCAAGAGTGATTTAGTTGTTCCTAGGGCCTTGAGCTCTGTTGGCTTAACTTTGTTAAGTATCAAATAACAAGCTGGTGTCTTATCCAGAGAAACCCTGTGATAATGGAGTAGGTAGTCATTCCCTTCTCAAGGGGATCTTCTCAAACCAAGGACTGAACGCTAGTGTCTTGCATTGGCAGGCAGATTCTTTACCCTCTGAGCCAGGGACGCTTGAAACCCCATGAGCTCTGAGTGTTTCTAGGACCTTCCAGAAAGAAGAGGAGAGTAACAGGTAGGGGCTTTAATTATCCATCATTTTACTCTAAATTTCATCTTTCTAACTTGAATTCAAATTATTCTTAACTATTTTACTAGTTTATTTATTATTTTATTACTGCTGCCTTTTTTCTACCTGGTTCCAAATGTAACCACTGTGTTTTTCACCTTCATTTTCCCAAAGCAGTACTAATTTACGGTCACGTACTTTGCAGTTTTTACCAAAAATTTAAAGACATTTACAGTCCTGTACAGAAAGGATACAGTTTCAAAATAAAATGTTTCCTAAGCCTCATGAACACTTCTCACACACAGTCTCTTTTTTGTTGACCATGTGCCTTGCTGAGGTCTGTCCTAATGACATGATTCTAGGCTCCTTTCTCACCCAGGTCCTATTCTTTTAATAACAGCTATTTTCAAACATCCCAAATTCAGTTCTTTTAATTTTGCAGAAAAAGTAACCTCCTAATTTGAGTCAATCATCACACCAATATACGAGCCCAACCAAAGAAACCAATGAAACTCTTTGCTAAACAAGCAAGCGTCAACAAAAAAGGTAACACATGGCATGAGACAAATTCTGTAATAAATAATAGTCAAGCTACAAGTTAAAAATATTTTCTCAAAGTACAGTCTTACTGAAACAAATAGAACAAAATGGATTTGATATGAGCAGTTTACAAATTATTACACTTGAAATTAGAAGGCTAACAGCTTAGTCTAAATTTTTCCTTTAAAGCTGTGACTTTAAATCATTAACAGTTCTGAACTTCATTTTACTATTGATGAAATAAATATATTTATATGATGTGCATGTACTGGTTTCACTGCACAAAGGTAAAAAGAAAATACTTGCCGAAAGCAAGATTTAAAATATTTACAGACGTAAAGTGAATTATAGTCAAAGTCATTTTAGAAACTTCAGTATCTAGCATTTAAAGGAAACATTTTTTCATAGTCAGATAATGGATACATGGGAGTAGAAATCGGAGATTATGATGCATGCTTCTAAAAGTAAGTGGTATATAAGCACAACTCCAATGAAACAGTGTTACTCTGGTGTTATCTAGGTGATTTTCTTCATTTGTTGCTCATTATATCAGAGATATCTCAAATTTGATCACTTGAAGACTATTTTCTTTTTCCAGTAAAAACTGAAAGTTTGAAATCACAAAAAAACACAGATAACATTTCTACTAGTTTAATGTTATTACTATATAGGAAAAACAGAGGAATACAATCTTGTGTAAATAGTTAGAAAAAAGAAGTTCCAGATAGAAAAACTGGAAGTAAATTATTGAGAAAAGGCACACATTTTCTTGATCATGTTATGAAAAAACAGGATAATAAGGCTGCAACTAAAAATATTTAATTAATGTTAATTAACACAAAATCTCCTTGTCATATCAATAACTGCACAGAAGCACACTCTCTGATCAAAACCATCTAGGCAGGGTTTTTCTCAGAGCAAGTTTAACATCTTTGTTCCTCAAACTGTAGATTAAGGGGTTCAGCAAAGGAACCGTATTGGTGTAAAAAACAGAAGAGATTTTTCCTTCATCCATAGACACAGCAGAAGATGGTTTGAGATACACAAATGAAATTGATCCAAAGAAGAGAGAAACAGCAATGATGTGGGAACTGCAGGTGCCAAAGGCTTTGGATCTGCCCTTTTTGAAGCTGATTTGAAGGATGTTGGAGAGGATGAAAACATAAGAGACAAAGATGGTGATACTGGGCACAATGATATTGAACCCTGCTATAATGGAATCTACCATCTCATTGACATAGGTGCTCATGCAGGAGAGCTTGAGCAGAGGCATGATATCACACATATAATGGTTGATGGTGTTTGCCTCACAGAAGGTCAGTCTCAGCATGCATTCGGTGAGAACCATGGCACTGGCAAATGCCATGAAGTATGAACCAAGCATAAGGCTGGAGCACACTTTAGGGGACATGATAACATTATACAAAAGTGGGTTACAGATGGCCACATAGCGGTCATAGGCCATTGATGTTAGCACATAGATTTCAGAAATCACAAAAAAAATGAGAAAATAGAGCTGGGTCATGCACCCCATGTAAGATATAAACTTCTTTGATATGAAGTTAATCAGCATTTTGGGTGTAAACACAGAAGAATAACAGAGATCTATGAAGGACAAGTTAAAGAGGAAAAAGTACATGGGCGTGTGTAGGTTTGAACTCAGCCCAATAAGGATTAACAAGCCCAAATTTCCCATCACAGTGACCATATACATTACTAGAAAGAGGAAGAAGAGTGGGAGCTGGAGATCTGGTTGGTCTGTTACTCCCAACAAAATGAACTGAGTCACGGAAGAGCCATTTCCTGGAGCCATTCTTCTCTAAGTAAATCTGTGAGCATAGGAGAAAAGGTTCACATAGAGGAAAAACAGCTTTTCTCACAGCAACTCCTCTCACATAGTGATGTATGCACAGGGAATGACAAGAACTATCCAAAATTTGACCCACAGAATTTTTTTACCATTACCATGGAGATGCAAGACAAGAGTTTTCCCTTTCAAGGCATTATAAACTAAACAGCAAAAAAATCACCAAAGTTTAACCTACAGAGTGAAGGGAACAGCTGCCATATGCAAACATAAGTGTTGGGGGGGAAAAGAAAGGGAAAGGGAAAAGAAGTTTGAACCAGGACAGGATTTTCCTTCTCTCATCTCACCATTTCTTCTTCATGCATTGGACCCACCCCTCACCAGTAAATTGAACCCTGTGGACCATAACCCACTAGGCTCCTCTGTCCATGGGGATTCTTCAGGCAAGAATACTGGAGTGGGTTGCCATTCCCTCCTTCAGGGGATCTTCCCGGCCCAGGGATCGAAACTGTTATCTCTCGGCCTACTGCATTGACAGGCAGGTTCTTCACCACTAGTGCCACCTGGGAAACCCAAAATTGAAGGCAGCGACCCTCAGAGCCTAATGCTTTTCTCTAACGCAGATTAGACCTGATGGAGTAGGAGTCAAAGAAACTGTCATATATAAGATCCTTGGTCTCCATCTCAAACAAGGAAAACACGAAAATAAATGGAATTCAGAAACTCACCCTCCATAGCCAGAAAATCCAAATTCTTTCTTCTTATTACGGCTATATCCCTGATCCAGGAAGGTCAATTTCAGATTCATAGACTTTGGTTTCTTTGATTCTAAGAACATACCACCTGCAATTAATCTCTGATAGTCCCTGGAAAGTATATTCAGAATTATAGATCATCATCTTGAGTATGACTTTTCACTCTATCAAGGAGCAGAAAGCAATAAACGGCCTCTATTAATATCATTCTTGCCACACAGTAAGTCACAAAAGATATTCTGTGAGTGTAATGGGTATAATGTACTCAGATATAAAAAGAGCAGCCACTTCCTCAGTCTCTTCCCCAGGGAACAGTTTCTGGGTGTAATAGGTAACTAAGGGGATTGTATTTACACCTAGACCACAATATGTCTTTTGTTCCTTATGCAATTAATATTTCATTCAAGTTTTTCCTTCACTGCAGGGACTGTTAACCCTCCAAGGACAAGCCAAATTTAACAACCATTTCCCATTAGCAACATGCAGAAGACCCCAAGCCCTAGAACCTCCTCCTCTGTATGACCACACTGATTCAAAAACAATTTCTGTACAAATTCCCTTTGTAAGAAACCCAAAACTTAGTTAAAAGGATCCTGCACACAGTTTGAGCATGATACCAGTTATGTTGAAGTTGTTAAGAAATTTCAAAATAAATTCTCGCCATATACCTATGGTGGTCCAGAACCACGTGACTAGGACAAACTTCCCCCAGTTCCCAGATTCTTCCTGGAGAGATAAAGAGATGTACAACACATACAAAGCCCCAACTTTTCTAGGGGCTATCCTGAAGACTGGCTTCAGTATAGCCTGTGCCAGAAAGTGGAGTGGACATAGGGTATGGACATAGGTTAGCTGCCTGAGGTGAGAGAAAGAACTGAGATAGCAGTCAGGGCTAGAATTCACCTCCCCTTGGCTTAACACAGCTAACTGTAGAAAATACTTATCCTACAGCTTCTCCTTGATTAAGGAAAATGTGCACTGTGCTTCCAATGACCCGATTTATCTAGGGGCTGCTTGAGGAATTGACTTTAGTCTCCTTTGTTTTAGGAGCCTGATGTGATCCTAACATGATCCAAATACTTGACAGCTACTAAAAACAAAGTGGATTGTACTTTTACAAGTTTAAAGAGGTTTGCTTTTTCTAGCTAGGCTTAATGATGTGGGTTTCCTCCAGTACAAAGCCAGTTCATGACAACTAAAATAGGTTGCTGTTTTGTCTATATACAGACACAAAGGCAGAAAGTCAAGGTAAAATGAAAGAAAGTTCAATTACATTCCAAAAAAAAAAAAAGCCTTTCCAAAAGAGCCTAAAAGTGGCCCTAATGAAATGGATACATGATTTACATGACAGAGATTTCACTTAACTGCCATAAAGATGCTTATTGTAGTCACAGAACAATACATGAACAAATGAGAATTTTAGCTTTATGAATACCAAGCAGAAATCACGAAGCCAAAGAACACAATAATTGAATGGAAAAATTCACTAAAAATTCAAAACAGCAGACTAAACAAACTGAGGAAAGGATTGTAAAATTTGGGGGGGAAAGACATTTGAAATAATTCAGTAAATGGAGGAAAAGAAAAACAAATTAAAAATAGTGGGTAAAAAGTCTACAAACAATAAATGCTGGAGAGGGTGTGGAGAAAAGGGAACCCTCTTACACTGTTGGTGGGAAAGCAAATTAGTACAACCACTATGGAGAACAGTGTGGAGATTTCTTAAAAAGCTGGAAATAGAACTGCCATATGACCCAGCAATCCCACTTCTGGGCATACACACCGAGGAAACCAGATCTGAAAGAGACACGTGCACCCCAATGTTCATCGCAGCACTGTTTATAATAGCCAGGACATGGAAGCAACCTAGATGCCCATCAGCAGACGAATGGATGAGGAAGCTGTGGTACATATACACCATGGAATATTACTCAGCCATTAAAAAGAATTCATTTGAATCAGTTCTAATAGGATGGATGAAACTGGAGCCCATTATACAGAGCGAAGTAAGCCAGAAAGATAAAGACCATACAGTATACTAACACATATATATGGAATTTAGAAAGATGGTAACAATAACCCTATATGCAAAACAGAAAAAGAGACTCAGATGTATAGAACAGACTTGTGGACTCTGTGGGAGAAGGCAAAGGTGGGATGTTCCAAGAGAACAGCATCGAAACATGTATATTATCTAGGGTGAAACAGATCACCAGCCCAGGTTGGATGCATGAGACAAGCGCTCGGACCTGGTGCACTGGGAAGACCCAGAGGGATCGGGTGGAGAGGGAGGTGGGAGGGGGGACCGGGATGGGGAATACATGTAAATCCATGGCTAATTCATTTCAGTGTATGACAAAAACCACTGCAATGTTGTAAAGTAATTAGCCTCCAACTAATAAAAATAAATGAAAAAAAAAACTCTAAAAAAAATTTAAAAATAAAAATAGTGGGTAAAGTCTAAGGGATTTATGAAAAATGTCACCTGGACCATATAGGCATTATAGAGATTCAGAAGAAGAATGTGAGAAATGAAGCAAAATATTTCTTGAAGAAAAACTGGCTGAAAAATCACTGCATCTATGCAAGGAAATGGATCTCCAAAACCAGGAAACAAAAAGGATCCCAAAGAAATCAACAGAAAAAGACGCCTTACAATCAAGTTATAAGAAGTCAAAGACAGAATTTTTTTTATTGAAGTGTAGTTGATTTACAGTATGTTGTAAGTTTCAGATGCACAATATAGTGATTAAATATTTTTATAGATTATACTCCATTTAAAGCTATATTAAAATACTGACTATATTCTCCATCTATATATTTTTATTTTATGCATACTGATCTGTATCTCTTAATCCCTTCTGTCCTTGACTGTCTCTCACCTCTTCCGTCTCCCCACTGATAACCACTACTTTGATCTCAGTATCTGTGAGATTTTTTCTGTCCTATTATATTAACTTTTTCCTTTTTATTTTTTATATTCCATATATAAGTGGTAATACAATATTGGTAATTCTCTGTCTGCCCTATTTCACTAAAAAATATTCTCTAGGACCAACCACATTATTGCAAATGGCGGGATTTCATTATTTTTATTGGCTGAGTTATATATTATACATATATTATATAGCCCAGCTTTAAAAATATTATATATGATAGTCATTAAATATATATATGTGTGTGTGTACACATATACAAATACATGTATATGTATATATACATTTTTGCTGTTATTCACTCACTAAGGGCATCTCTGACTCTGCAACACGCCAGGCTTCCCTGTACTTCACTATCTCATGGAGTTTGCTTACACTCACCTCCGTTGAATCAGTTATGCCATCCAACCATCTCATCCTCTGTCACTCACTTCTCCTGCCCTCAGTCTTTTCTAACATCAGGGTCTTTTCCAGTGAGTGGGTTCTTCGCATCAGGTAGCCAAAGTATTGGAACTTCAGCTTCAGCACGTCCTTCCAACGAATATTCCAGGTTAATTTCCTTTAGGATCAACTGGTTTGATCTTCTTGCTGTCCAAGAGACTCTCAAGAGTCTTCTCCATTACCACAATTCAAAAGCATCAGTTCTCCTAGATCATTACCATTAAAGCTCATCACTTACTTTAGGTTCTCTTTTGATGTATATTACATGGGTTTGAACAAATTTATAATGACATATATCCACCATTACAGTATCATACAGAGTAGTTTCATTGCCTAAGAATTAATCTGTGCTCTGCTTATGGATCCTTCTCTCCCCTGGCAACTAATGATCTTTTCACTGTCTCAATAGTTTTGCCTTTTTCAAAATGGTATATAGTTGGAGTCATATAGTATGTAGCCTTTTCAGATTGACTTCCTTCATTTAGTAATATGAATTGTTTCCTCCAGTCTTTTCACAGCTTGATGGCTCATTTCTTTATAGTGCTATATAATATAACTGTCTCGATGTGTCACAGTTTATTTATCCACTCACCTTCTGAGGGGTATTTTATTAGCTTCTAGGTTGAAGTGATTATGAATAAATTCTGCTATAAAGATCCATGTGCAGGTTTTTATGTGGATGTAACTTTTCAACTCATTTGGGTAAATTCCAAGAAGTGTAATTGCTGGATCTCATGGTAAGAGTAGGATTAGTTTTCTAAGAAATTGCCAAACTGACTTCCAAAGTGGCTGCACCATTTAGAATTCCCATCACCCATGAAAGAGAGTTCCTGTAGTTCCACATTCTCTTCAGGACTTCATGTTGTTTATATTC